AAAGAATTTTAGTCAATTAAAGCTGATATAAATATATTTTATAAAAATTTTAATTTGTTTTAAATATTTCTTAGCTATAAAAAGAGCATTCAGTTCAATGATAGCTGATGCATAAAACAGGATTTGCACAGCTGAAAGTAAACATTGTCTCTGAATTCTTCTTATGCAACACAAGATAAAAATAAAAAAAACATTAATGCTGAATGCATTCAGCTTGAAATAATTGGTTTCCTCAAAGTATTCAGATCAGATAATACTCTCGCTCAATGATCAATGATCAGTGATCGATTTAAGCACCAATCTTTATGAGTTATTCAACACTTACCAGATCAAAGAAACTGTACTTTTTATCGGGCTCCGCTGTGGCATCTCCGCTGGCTTTCTGCACCTGAAAATCGCCCAATTCTGGCAGATTTGTGCTGCGCTTCTTCGACTCCTTGCTAAATTCCAGTTCTGTGGACATTTCTGAGATCCTCTTGTGTTGTACTTTCGTTAATAGATATTACGTATTGGAGAGCTGCAAAAGGGATGAACTCAACAACTCATTTGTATGCCACATTTGAATTGCGCTTGCGATCGATTGCGGCGCGCTTTTTATTAAAAAAAAAAAAATTCAAGAAAAAAAAAAACTCACAAAATAATTAAAGTTTTTCTGGGGCGACAATTTATATAAGAAATGAAAAGTGAGAGAGGGAGCGAGAGAGAGAGATGGAAAAAAAAGCATATTTCCCAAGACAAATTAACGATTTGAGCTGGAAGCTGACGCTGTTGCAGCTTGATAAATTGATAAACTGATGATTGCACACTTGCGGCAATTGAAAAACTGGAAAAGCATCCATAAATTAATAAATTACAAACAATTCGAAATATTCGAAAGTGAAATATATGTGCCGAGACAATCGATCGAATCGACAACAAAAACAATTCAAGCGTAATCTTTTTCTGGACTATTACCAATTTTTTTTTCTTTTTTATATATATATATATTTTTTATATATAATATATATGTAAACACTGGCAGACTGGCAGTATGCTAATGATCAGAGCCGATGTTCTTTTTTTCAATTGTTCAGTGATTGTGTTTTTTACGGCCTGGGGTCGAGGTTTTTAAGCGATTTTGATTTAACACTCTTCCGGGCAACAGGCAGCCTTTGCATCTCGACAGCACGCGATTCGAATTGGAACTGTTGGGCCCAGTCAAGAGGGGCCTACGACGATACCTCGGTTACCAGAGTGTCCGACTCTCGAAGTGTCGTCAGATATGCATACGTATGTGTGTGTGTGTGTGTGTACAATCGCGTGCTCGTGTCGTGTTAGGCGGAGGTAAATGTTATAAGAACTTGATGCGGCTGAAACTGAGCCGAATTGATGCCATAATAAACGCGATCATAAACCTTACAATCGGCCAATTAAAATGCACAACAAAGAGTTGAAGAAGCAGAACGAGCTGAAGAATATATGTAGCTTTAACATCGGTAAACAAATATCAGTCGAAATTGTTAGGCACACGCGCTGATTGTTCCGGCTTATCGTCCACTTCTGGCTCAACTACACGCCTCGGCCACGCCCACCGGCGAACTAGTCGTGTCAACTGGCCAGCATGACTGTGCTAAATTCTTGGAGTTCATTTCCAGTTTTTGCAGTGCGTCAAAGCCATGTATTTCCCTCGACTGCAGCATTGCGCACGCAGAGCACGCAACATTCAAGAAAGTTACCTGGACAACTTGTGGGAATTACCGCAGTCGCTCGGCATGGCATTGCCCTCGCCGGGTTCCTTGGAAGATTCGTCAGCATCTAATTGCCGAGAGCTGATCTTAATTTATATATAAGTAGTATGTGCTCTATGTGCTGCTGACGTGTATGCAACACTCGCTGCCGGGCCATCCGGAACTAACTCAAATAACATGCATAACTATTAATAATTTTATCCATGTAAATCTGTAAAGTCTGTTCCATAGGCTTTTTCGAGAACTGAACCGTTGGAACTAGTTCAATTAACACGCTACTTATTGATATTACAATAGCCCTATTCGAGCTATGGAACATTAGAACTAGTTCAAATAATCCAATTCCAAATACACATTTAATTAAATAAAAAGTTTTTTTATTGATCGAGGAACCAGTCAGGCAGAGGAACTAGTTCATAAGCTAAGTACTTCAGCAATTAAATTTCACAATGAAATTCCGATGCAGCATAGAACTAGTTCATATACTAGTTCATATTCAAATATTGATAAGGTCTTGAGAGCACAAAAATCAGTTTCTACAAATATGTTTACAACTGGTTCTGGAAAACTCAAAATTTCATTCAAGTGCAAATGGAATTTTTGCGAAAACAAAATACGACGCCAATCAGACATACTATAAAGACAGATATATTGTACTTACACTGCACAGCAGGGTTGTGAACTAGAGCTGTGCCAAGGCATGGGGTAGGTCCAAAATATAATAGAATTTAAAGGATTTTTTTTTTAAATATTTAATTGAGATTTAAAAAAGATTTTTATACTTGCGAAAAGATAGAAAAACTATTGAAGAATTTGTTTATTAAAATGTTATTTTTTCTGTATAGAAAAAAAGGAATATTTATTTTTTCAAATAAAGATAAAAAATATATATAAAGGTTATATATATTTGAGAAAACTGGTAAGAACTTGTTGAATAAGAAGGTATTTTTACTATATTATTGAATAAACATGAGCTAAGAATCAAAAATAACAGATTTATCATAAGTTTTTAAGCTGCCTTAGGCATAAATTGAAGATGTCTTGAACCAGCATGAATTTCACAATGCTGCGCAATCTTGCAAGTAAGGCAATGAAATCAACAACTCAATTTTGTTGTTGAGTGTAGCGAACATTCGGTACTTATCTAACCTAAGTGCCGTACCTTTATGGGGGAATACTATAATTTATAAACAATATAAAACAACAACAACAACAAGAAAAACAATATGCGGCAAATACAACCATCAAGGTTAGGCTATCAAAAATATTACGTAGATTCGAGTAAATATTACCAAGCTAGATGGCAGGCCCTCCATGCCCAGCTACAGATATACAGATATGTATATATATATAGATGATGTCGTATCGGGCAACTGAGAAGACTTACCGGCTGGCAATTTGACGAAAACAAATGCTGAATGCTGAAATCTTTTATTATGATTTGTTTGACTAGTCGCGCACAATGAGAACCGACCGCAGACCGGGCAATGGCTAATGAACTGAACTCGAATCGAGTAAACGACCCGATATTTATACGGACTGGGCAGCTACCTGTGCACACCTGGACAAGCGACCTGCATTTGCGATTCCAAATTGACTTGGTCAGGTCACACAGCACAAAGTCCACGCTGGTAAATAAACAAATCTGTCCACATACATATATTCTGCATGTTGTTTATGTGGGCAGGGTCTGGGTCGGATATCTTCGAGCACATCCGTTGATTTAGTCGTTTTTAATGATCTGGCCGCGGCACGACGTCCGGAAGTTCATTTTCAGGTCTATTCAACATAAATCGCAACTGTTTTACTTTAATCTTTGGCCAATACACAAATCTGCTGAGTAGTGCTTGATTTCTAAGCCTCTGGCGAGTTGAGTTAGAATATGGTCCAATTAGTTATTATATCATTCGAAATAGTCAATCCGATGTATTGCATATATTCCTTGAAATTTAACTAATATTTCTGAAAGTTTATTTCTTGTAGAAAATATATAATATCCAGGAAGCTTATCTTTTATTAGAAAATTATATATAGTTATGGCTCGATTAGTTACTGTAAGACTCGCTATAATAAATCCGAGTTATATATTTAAATATAATACCAGCTTTAATCCCTGAAGAATTTGTAGAAATTATATATTGTAGTATTCCCTTGAGGCACTAAGATATTCGCTGAGAAAATATGTTGATAAAAACTGTCAGAAGCTCAAGTAAAACCTTCTCTTGAGACTAATTAGTAATATCTCGGATTATGATCATGATCTATCACAAAGTAGAACTACGAAAAGTTAAGTAGTTGCCTTATGAGTTGACCTTCAGCAGAAACGTGACATTTATCCAAAATGCAATTGGACTAGTTTTCGATTTCTCAGATTTAAATTAGCTTACTTTGTCCAATATTCAAATAGGCACGTGCAGGGGATGGCTTGAGTTGAGATATGTTGGATTTTTTTGCTATTCAACTGCTGCTTGAATATTCTATATAATTTTTGGCACTAGGTTAAAGCAAAAGAGAAGGGAAATAGTATTTGCATTAGACAAAGCGCGAGCTAGAGGTCAGTAAACCCCGAGGCTAAATAATGATCTTTATGGTCTAAATATAGGAAGTACGTCTTTTACGAGCATCTGCCACTTAGCCGGGCCATATAAAAACTTGGAATTGCGCGGAACGCCGCAGATGCACGACGTCTTCCTAGATTCATTCAAAGAAGTTGCTTATTAAAATAAATAGATGCGTATATTTAACAGTTTATATATACAACAGAAGTTTCGACTTGGTACAATAGTTAACAAAACTCCTTTGGAGGTAGCTGCTGCGGGGAATACATTATAGGAATATGAATACCAAGAAAATATCAAGCATTTTTTGCTTAAATTAAGTTCATTTTGAAATTTCTTAAGCTGAAGTAGAAATACAAAGCAAATATTAAGTTTACGTTTTTCTTAAGCTTTCTTTTTCAGGAACATTTTTTTTTTGTAATACTTCAATTTCTGAATGGAGGAGCTCTTGGAATTCCATTGAGCACTTTTTGAACCTTTTCAAAATCTTAAATTAAGTATTATTTATGCTTAATACAATATATTTTGCTGTGAATTAGGGTTAAGTTAGACTTAATTTAAGAACGAAGAGAGCCTGAATTGTCTTTAGGAAGAAAATGAATTTCTATCAAGATCGCATTAAAAGTTAAAGCTAAATTTGTTGCTCTCAGTAATTGAAGAAAATATCAAGCATTTTCTTACTTAAATTAAGTAATAGAAAAACATATTTCAGCAATTGTTTTCTTCGATTTCTGAATGGAAAAGCTCTTGGAATTCCGTTGAGCATTTTTATTTTAGTGTGTAAATCCTTAAATTAAGTACTTTATGCTTAATTCAATATATTTTTTTTTGGAATCAAGCATAATTTATATTTAATTAAGCGCTTGATACTGCTTTTAAAAAGAAAATACATTTTCTATATAGACTGTTGTTAAATTGAAAGCTGAATTTGTTACTCTTTGCCCATGGGATGGACTTTACATTTGAGGTAGCTGCTCTGGAATTTGCTTAAGGTCATGTTAACGTCTCCTGCCAGCTCCAGCTCAGTAGCTCAGGCTGATGCCCTGTTGGCGATGATAGATGTCGCTGCGCACGAGAATCTCGTAGCTGCTGATGCGCACCTCCTGCCCGCCGAAGGGTATGTGCAGGCAGCGATGCGATTGCTGAATCTTGCCAGGTGTCAGGCTGCCGCAGTAGTGGGCGCGGCCAATGAATAACGGCTCGCCGTTGAAGGCACGGCCCGCCTCGACGGCGCCGGCAGCTATGCTGCCGTCACGGCCGGGCACCCAATGGTACTTGGACTGTCCGATGAGCACCTCGTAACGCGACTCGACAATCTCGCGGCCGGCCAGCGTTATGTAGGCACAGCCGCGACTGGGCGCCGCCTTGCCCGGTATATGGGTGCCATCGTAGTAGGCGCGACAGACGAGCAGCGGCGCCATGTCGCTATCGTGGCCGCCGAAGACGGCATCCGGTGGCGTATAGCCGGGACTGGCCGCCATCCACAGATCATAGCCGACGCCATGGGTCGGCGGTCCGCCGCCGTAGACAGGCGGCGCGGGAGCACACACGGCTGGCGTGTAGGAGGAGCAGCTGGGCGCATACGGATCCAATGACGGCTTATAAGTGTCCGCTGGCGTAAAGGAGCACGCGGCAGCGGCAGCAGGCGGCGCCACCTCGGCGGGCGTATAAGAGGGCGCCACCTCGGCGGGCACATAGGAGGGCGGCGGCAGCGAGGGCTTCACTGGTATGGGCACGGGCACGGCTAGCGGTGGCTTGTACTCCGGCAAGATCGAGGGCCCCATTGGGCGGGCTGGCGGCGGCGGCGGTGGTGGATACGGATCTGTCCCGGCCATGGGCATGGGCATGGGCGTATACTGTGGTGGTCTGTCGTGCAAGGCAAAGGCCGGCGCATCAAAGTCCGGCGGATACGGATAGCGTCCGGGAGCAGCGGCTGGTTTGCCAGCCAGCAGCTGCGGCATGGGCGGCGGCGGCGGCGTTACCGGACATTTCTCGGCCAACTCCAGCTGTTCGGGCGGCGGCGGCGGCAGCTGCCAGCCGGGCATGCCTTGGCGTTCCTCCACCAGAATCTCATACGAGTCCAGACGACGCTCCGCGCCGCGATACGCAATGAACAGAGCACGATGCACCGACGAGATTTTCCCAATTATCAAATGTCCCTCATAGTGGCCGCGTCCAATGTAGACGGGCTGTTCCAGCTGGGTGCGACCGCAGAGCACCGCTGTCTCGGGTATCACGTGATCGTAGCACTTGACCCAGACTAGATTCTCGCCGCACAGTATCTCGAATATGTCCTTGGGCAGTGCCTCGCCGCGCTGCGATACAAAGCCGATCTGCTTGGTGGGCACCACCTTGCAGACGAGCATATCGCCCTCATGCTCCGCCCGGCCCACATAGATCATGGCGCCATCCTCATCATTGCCGCCCACAACGGCGTTCGGCGGTATCGAGGAGTACGCCGACGACTGCACCCATTTGTAGGCTGTAATATAAACGAATTAGGCATAAGTTTAAGTTTCTCGATATATGTAATCTATATATAATCCAAGTTCAGGCTATGCCCAAGCTTTAGACGTGCAACTTTTACCAGACTACGAATATAATCTTGTATTGTGTTTATATTTAAAGGCTTATAGATATAAGCTTAGACTAATTTATATGCAGAGATAAATGAACTACAGAACTTAAATGTGTTTGATAAGCAGTCGCAACCTTTATTGGAAATTGTTCAAGAATATAAATATATGTTTATGTGAGTGCCGCCTATTGCCGGCAGAGCACCTCATAGGAGTCCACACGGATTTCACGACCTCCGTAGGGTATGTAGAGGCAACGCTGTCGGGAGGAGATCAGGCCGGGCGTCAGGCTGCCCTGGTAATGTCCGCGTCCGTAATAGATGGGTTCGCCGTTGCGGGCGCGTCCCGTGGAGACGGCATTCGGGGGAATGCCATGGTGATGGGGCCGAATCCAGACATAGCCATAGCCGGTGAGCACCTCGTAGGTGGGCTTCTGGAACTCGTAGCCGCCAAAGCAGACATAGGCAGAGCCCTTGCTGGGCACCACCTTGGCGGGCAGCATTTCGCCCTCGTGCATGGCGCGTCCGGCATAGATGGGCGTGCGATCCGAATCGTGGCCGGCTACGACAGCGCCGGGCGGTGTATAGCTGGGCGTGGCTGGCACCCAGACATCCTGCTGCTGATGGATGAGCACCTCGTAGGTGTTAATGCGCACCTCCTGCCCGCCAAACGGTATATAAAGACAGCCATGCGACGGATGCACCTTGCCCACACAGAGCGAGTTCGAGTAATGGCCGCGACCCACATAGATGGGCTCCCCGGTGCGGGTGGTGCCGCTGCGCACAGCATTTGGCGGCACACAGCCGCTGGAGCTGCCCACCCAGGCGAAGCCCTGGCCCACCAGCACCTCATAGTGGCTCTTCTGGTGCTCGGTGCCGCCGTAGGCGACATAGGCACAGCCCTTGCTTGGTATTACCTTGGCGGGCAGGTTCTCGCCCTCGTGGAAGGAGCGACCCACATAGATCGGTGTGCCGTCGGCGTCGTGGCCGCCAACAACAGCGAACGGAGGCAGTGCGGCATATGGAGTCGAGTGCACCCAAGTGTGTTCTGCAACGAGAGGAGCGGACAGTGCGGTTGGGCATTAGCCAAAGAGTTGCCGATAAGCGCGATAAGATAGCATTGATAATACGCATTGGTGCAAAAGTTATACATATAGATTTTCAATTCTTTAAATATTGACACAGCTCTGCACTCGCCTACCAATGCTCACAACTGCTCCCGGCTGCACTGCACCTAAAGGTGGACCCGGCAAAAGAAACGAAGGAAAAAAAAACCAAAAGAGAGAGAGAGAGACAAATCAGCACTGACATCCACGACAGGGATTGCTAAGAGATCGCTGAGGATCGGCTGACTCCTATATTTACTTTGTCACACAATATATATGCCCTGCCATATCTATATATATATATATATGTGGGTCTGATAAATATGCCTGATTAACATACCCATGATTCACTTTTCCAGCTGATAAGCGCGCTTTCTCTGCAAATTATTTATATCTTTTGTATATAGTATAATGTAATTATTCCTTTTGTTTTTGTTTTAGAATTATTTAAAGTCCACTCCGTTGTTTCGACCGTCAGGTTCGCTGTTCGATTTTCAACTAAAACCCGCAACGGCAAGTGAAAAGGTTTTAAAACTACGCCCGAGCCTATATCTCCGTGCTGCTTCGGCTCGCATTCAAAAGTGCTTAAAAGGGGTATATTGGTTATGTGCAAAGGTATGTAACGGGTAGAGGATGGCATCACGCATCCTCATAAATAATATATATTCTTGGTCAGCATCAATACTCGAGTCGATCCTTCCGTCCGACCGTCCGTTTCTCCGTCCTTCCTTTCTCCGTCCGTGCGTTCCACCGTCCCTCCGTCTGTCTGTCTCTCGGTCCGTCTCTCCGCGTCGATCTTAGCAATTTTAAGATCGAGATACTTGAATGTAGCTTCTTCTTGTACCCGCTCAGTACGGATTTGTTATTCGCTTTTCGATAACTTGCCCCATTTCAAAGCAATCGATAAATATCGTTATCGAAATCCTGTTCTCTGAGAATATCTCCCAGCATATATCTCTCGTATAGTATATAAAGATCGTGTATGCTACTGCCACGCCCAGTCCCCCTCCCTTCTTCACCCGCCAATAGAATAAGTGCTTAGCTTGAGTAGCAGAAAGTTAAGGGCATACACTAGTCGAGTAAACCCAACTGGATCCCTTTTACTTGTCATTTTTTTTTGGTGTTATTTTTATCGATAAGCTTTTCTTGCAGTGCATATGGCTTGTTATTGACAGGGCCTTATCGCTAACATTCTCAACTTACGGGCATGTTTATCATTTCCAATATTAATGTATCACCCGAAAAGCTTTTTTCCAGCAACGATGAGTCAGCCGCCATGTTTGGGGACTTTTTTTTGGGGGGGTTTTACATATCTATATATATAAATTTTTATGTATATAAACTGGAGGTACGCCAGGTGTGCGTATTGGCCACTTGTCAAGTCAGCCAGCCAATAACATATTTACACATTTATACCATACAGGAAATACATAAATGTCAAATTTACTATAAATAGAGGGAAGGCGTACTTAGATCAGCGAGGTCAATGAGTTTATGATCTCAGGCGCCACGCCTCTTTAAAGAGATTGGCAATACTTACATAAGAGATAAGATATTGCTGTTGCATTTATGGGTGATTACATATATGTCAATATATATATGTATATATGATATATCTACATATAGCAATGCAGTTTGCATTTACAATTGCATTTGCAATATCAGTTCTCGATATACAGATACATATTTGTCATAGTAAGATATAGAAACATATGGAAACATAGCTCTCATATCGTATATAAAAAAAAAAGTCTTAATTTGTAGAAACCTATATAGAAACATAATTCTCATAAATCACATCACTCGGATAAGCTTATTTCTAGAAAAATGTCTCTTATATCATATAATATATCACATTAGCTTATGTCTTAATTGCCAGGACATTATATAGAAAGGTAACTCTCACATCAGTTACATATAACACATTAGTTTATGTCTTCATTGCTAGAACCTTCTATAGAAATATATCTCTCATATAAAATATATTTAACATCAGTTCCATGTCCTTATTTCTAGAAACATATCTATTATATCATATTATATTATACCATATCTTAAATATCTCATATATAGCTCCCATATCAGATATATCACATCAGCGCGATGGGTTAATTGATAGAAGCATATATGGAAAGACATCTCTCATATCACGTATAACAAAATACCAGTTCGAAGTTTTAATTTCTAGAATCTTCTACAGTATCATATCTTTCATATGATATCTTATAAGATATCTCACATGTATCTCTCATATCATATCATATCATATATCATAAAAGGGCCGATGCGCTTGTTTCTAGAACCCTATATATATTATCTTAAATTCTATAAAACTATCTATCTCTCTAGATAATATCAATGATAAATATTATTGAAGGTTAAACCTTTTGGGCCCAAAAATTGGCGAGCACAAAAATTATTTTTCCAATCTAAAAAAAAAGAAGAAATAAAAGGAACTTGACAACTCTATAACTACAGTTTAACTCTCCAACTAAACTCAAAATTGAGATGTATGTTTTTCTTCTTTTCTTCGATTTTCTTTTACTTTCTTTTGCCTTCTTTTAGTTGATTGTTGTTGACTCAGCGAATCTATTTAGAGTTGTAGCAAGCCTCGTTACTGCTGTTTAAATGAAACATTTCTCGACTTTAGACGACTGAGTCACATTTGGTTTGCTCAGAGGCCGAAACCGAAGCCCAACCAGAACCCAGAAGCCAGAACCCGAAACAGAAACAGCTGTGGCTTTCGTTTATCGACTCGCAAGTGCCACAAAAGTTGGGGTCTGTTGTAATACTCATGCGGTTATTCAAAACAAAGCGCTGGAGCAACAAGGCAGCCAATCTGCAGCATAAAAGCGACGGCGAATTTCGATCAGAGCCATAAATTGAAAAGTGCAGTGCACAGCTTTCAAGCTATTCGCCGAAGGAAACTATCGGGATTTCAAGTAGAGCCGCAAAATGTTGACAGGTGAGAAAAGTTCAGTAAATACTTCTCTAGTTAAACAAGCTCGCAGAGTGCCAAGCACAAGAGTTTCGAGGTTGTTTATTTGGCTACACGTTTCTGCTGCTGTTATTGATAAAGTGTATTTTGGACCGGCTTGATAAGACATACCATAATCATGCAATCGCTCATAGATAAGCGCACAAATATTGGGTAAACATCTCACGAACAGATAAAACGCATTATTTATTGATATTTTAGAGGCCAGCTAACTGTTATGCTGGTTAAAATTGAGGAGGCAACAATATTTTACACACTTTTCAAAGTTTGCCGCGATGACGAAGTGCCAGCTAACCCCCAGCCCCTCTCTCGACCCGTTCACCTGTACACATGTTTACTTGGAAAAAATGCCACAGGCTCCGATACGATATCTTATCGTTTGCCGGCTAACGACAATCACACACAACTGGGCCCAAAAGCAAAATATCTATATATATATATATATATATGTCAGTCAACACATTTTGCCCGATAAGAGAGTCGCAGCTTTATAACACAACTGCCAGTCGCACGTCCACTCAGTCATATAGTAACTACGCCAGTGAGAGCGCCACGGAGCACGTATCCGTCAGATACTTCAGTTCAGCTACAGATATAACTATAAGCAGACACACAACAACAAAATGGGTAAGCGCAGGATTCAAGTGAAGGATTACAAAACTCTAAAAAAGAAAAAAAAAATGGAATATACCAGTGAAAATTGAAGATAAATACGATCTATAAAAATTTTCCTGAAAAGTTTCACAAAAGATTGTGATTAGTTAACGTAAAACCTTGGAATGAGGCTAAAAATAGCCCAAGCAAGCGCTTTAAAGGATCTTTGCTTAAAGCTTGCTTAAAGCTTTTAAGCTCTTCTGTAGCTAAAAAGAAAGTGCCTAATAGCTTAAGGAGCACCATTTTTGACTTGGTGAAAGTACAGTTCGATGTGCTCAATATAGTCATATATCAAAGCTGGCTACATTTGGCGACAGTTCAAATCCGACCAACTTATGAGCTTTTGGTGACAGATATGGGCATGAATAATGCCACAATTTCGACATGTACCTGATAAAGACACCTTCAGTACCTTAGTCAAGTGGTTTTTGCAGTTACCCTGCCCTGTCGTATCTTAGATCTGAACACAGACACAAGCGTCCCACACACACACACACACACACACACACACACCTGCTTTGCCCTATCGCGGCACACTTGTCATGACGAGTGAAGTTCTCACTTGCGATCCAATTATAAGCTTTGCTGCTGCATTGGGAACAAAAATGACTCAAAGTTGAGTTAATTCGCTTGCTTTTTTAACTGTGCTGCAGCAGGAGTTGGAGAGAGTGATAGCAGCCGAGAGAGAGAGAGAGAGAGAGAGAGAGAGCGAGAGTTGGAGAGTTATTTGTGGTGTAAATTGTAGTCCTGACGAAGCATTGAAGCTAGCCTTCTCACTCGCACCTCTCGAAGCTTTCCCTTGTTTCATTGAGTTATCAATATTTATTACTCAATGGATTTCTTTCTATTTGAGAAAACGCTCAATATGAAATTGTGCTCAATTTGAGATTGTGCTCAATATCGAAATATGCTCTTTATAAGTTGAGTAAATATTAAGCATTTATTGAGTATTTTCTCAGTGAGTTTTTTTTTATATATACTTTTAAAATCTATAATTTAATATAAATGTATTCAATATAGTCTACAGTCTGTTATATATACTATATATTCCTCTAAAGTCCATCAAATTCATGATTTAGCTAATTTTGCCAAATATCCTTCAGATCACACTTGGGTTGCCCGCAATGTGTACGATGCACTGCCGCCATTTGCCATCGCCGCCGGTCACGATTCGGATCAGGATCCAATCTATGTGGGCCGCGCCTATCACAACGGCGACATGCTGCCCGCCAAGGTGATACCCAACAAGCATCAGGCGTACGTGGCCTGGGGCGGCGAGGAGATTAGCAAGCACGATTACGAGATCCTCACCGGACACCATTACTGCTGGATACCGGCCAGTCATGGCGAGGTGCCGCCGCATGCGCTGCGCGTGGGCCAGACCTCGGATGGGGAGGCGCTGTTTGTGGGTCGCGGCTATTTCCAGGGCAGTCTGACGCCCGGCAAGGTGCATCCGTCGCACGGCTGCCTGTATATACCGTACGGCGGTGCCGAGCATAAGCTGGAGGCATACGAGGTGCTCGTACAGCCGGAGACATGGGTCAGCTCGTCCGGCAGCAACATTGTGCCCGGCACCATACTGGCCGGCCATGATGCCGATGGCGATGCCATCTTTGTCGGACGTGCCTATCACGATGGCGATCTGCTGCCGGCCAAGGTGATACCCAACAAGGGCTGCGCCTATGTGCCATACGGCGGACAGGAGCACGTTAAATACGATTTTGAGCTGCTCGCCGGCTACGGTTACGGCTGGGTGCCCGACTCCTTTGGCAATGTG